CTGGAACGACGTCTTCTGAAGTACAACTGACGCACTCAACATCTCGTCGGACTTCGCAGTTCAGATATGAAATCAATGTCTCGTCTTCGCAATCCAGCGGAATACGTCTCTAAGGCAAAGCATCGATGGACTGGTCATATAATGAGAAGGACAGACCACAGATGGACACTAAGAATTGGAATGGATCCTCGCGAGGCAAAACGTCCTCGAGGGAGCCACCGACCAGATGGGCTAACGTGTTCGTTGCGCGGATGAACCAGCTGAATTCTCAGCTGGTAACGAGTAATGGACCTGGACCTCGCGAACGTCGCCGCCGCAGTGCAACACCAACATCGTGGATGACGCTAACGAGAAACAGACACAGATGGAAACAGTGCTGTGGCCTGCACGACAAATGAAGACAGGCCATCTAAGTATCTAAGTAAGTACTGAGTCAAGGGAGAATATGTAAACTTCTGAAAAACCTTGTTCAAAATGGGCGATCCAACTGGTGCAAATTCTTTCAGGATGAGATGTGACGCGCGATGTGCAATGGCCCAGACAACGACGAAATCTACCTAACTGTGACTAGTTGAGTTTACATTTTGCTAAAGCGGATTTGATTGTAATTTTTCGTGAGCTTTCACGACATGTTGTTTGATTTGGACACTGGGTTCCTCTCCACTTCCGCTCCCTCTTGGCTTCGCCGCGACTCCTGGCCATTATATGACGACAACACCACATGATCGTCACAAGCTTCCAAGCTTCACAAAAGTTGTACTTTATCCAGAGCAGTTTGGTTTAACAATGCTAAACATTCGACGAAAGAACTCCACTTGCCTTCGCAGACGCAGTGTCAGAAAAGATCTCCTCAAGGCCGGAAGAAGTTTAGGGCTGCGCTCTTCTCACTTCAAAAAGAATGAGTGCAGCTTTGAAGTAATCGAAAGAAGCTCTGACAAACTGTGCGCTTTTCCACAGTGGCAATAGTAACATCGCTGACAAAGAATATCAGATGTTATGTGAAAAGTATAGGTATTACGCCCGAAAGTTAAGGTTCAGGCGTACCTTCGCACGTGGTGCAATTGCGGTAGATAACAACGATAAGCGGGAAGATATTGGATGCAAATTTGTGCACAACTCTTTTCCTATTTTTTTTTAAAGAGGATTTGTGTGGGACCTAAGTGACAATAACACCGTCTGGGTTTTTTTTTTCAAAGATCAAAACTTTCTATTCTAGTAGTCTTGTTCAGTAAATAACGTGAAATCCTATAATTTGTCTATCATAGATTACATATACAGCGGTGTTATAAGAAGGGATTTGGATTAGAAAATGTGAGGAACGGTGACTAGAACGAACAATAGGGTTATAATCCCAAATGTGCCTTTGATCTTCCGTTTTTTGTTTTCCAGACAGATTTGTTTAGGATAAAGTTTTAAATCTGATCTCTTACGTCGAAACATTTGTTGCGTATATTACATGCTGTAACTTTGGCCACATTTTAAAAGTTGTAGAACCTCTTTGTGGAGCATCACTATGCCTATTAAAACGAGGCATACACAAAGACGGTGTAGCGTACGACGTTCATTTCGCACTCGCCCATCAAATCAAACTGCCGTCATTTGTGTTGATCATCCTGATGTCCAGGTACTGTTTCTTTAGACTTGTTTGTGTTTTTTACGCCTTCTAATATCGGTTAATATCATCTGCTATGCCGGAGTTTTACCATGCCTCATTCTACGCATAAGATTTGAGCAACTCAACTTTTAATAAATCCATGCAAATTGCACCACTCCTTTCCAGCTATTTCATGATGACTCGTGGGATGACGATTTTGCTTTGAGATCTCCAGCACCAAGAAAACCGCGAAAACCGAGGCCAGTTCCAGAAGAGGTATATCAAAATGTACATTTTTATGCTAATCTGCATAGAGTTGAGAGTTAGTTTTCTAATTCAAGATAATCGAAGAAGATGAAGAGGAGTCTGACGGAGTTGGTGACAGGAATAATGATGAGAACATGCCTCCTAATACAATCGATGGTAACCGATCCGCTATCGAAAGGATGAACGCAGAGGTGTGTTCAGTCGATGTAGATGGATAATCTAATCCTTTCAATTCTCTTCCTAATTTTTGCCGTCCTTCTTCGTAATTCAAATTCATTAAAGATTTTTTTCAACCTTCTTTTGTACCTTATTTCTCCAATCTCAAGTTCTACTTGCAAGGTGTTTTTGGATCATGCTTATGGCAAGAAATAAAGAGCAATTGCTTATAAGTTTTTGTCAAGAGGCAGTGGAAATCAAATTGTTTTTGGTACGCTTCAAAGATGGGTGCCTCTTTCACAATCTTACTTTTTAGACTCTTATAAAGGAGAGCGCGCTTATCCAACCATTTTGTGCGGTGACTTTAAGGTCTATAAACACATGGAAAAGAATTTGTTTCTCTAACGTAGTAAGTTGGATGTTGTAGCGACTTGGGTGGACAGATTCTTGTTGAAGCTTCTCTATTATCAAACAATTCTGCACCGCTGTGCCTGTAACAAATTTACACAATTTGCACTCTATGGCTGTGAGGGGAATGTTCAGATTCTTGTTCCAGTAATCTAGCCAAACTCAACAAGAACTTTCGTTTGCATCATATCTTGCATGGAGATCATGTGTCAATATATGCGTACTAACTCCTCGTCAACCTCATACTTCTCAGCTCTTTCCAAAGATTTTTAGGATTTTATGAGATTATCTAATTTTCTTCCACCTGCTTCTACTCCATATTTTATTCTTTAGTTCGCGGAAGCAGAAGAGTACTCGTTATATATAGAAAACGAAGACGGAGTTCGGCTTAAAGCTATTGGAAATCAATTAGTTGAATATGATAAATACGATGGTCCCAAAACAACAGGTAGTTGCTTATCTTTCAAGCTTCTATCAGACCGGACCCATTCAGCAGTTGTAATGCGACGCGTACTTTTTCTTTTAGCTCATGTATTTCCTAAAAGAAACACCCCATCCCCTCCAGATCAAGCCCAGATTGACTTAAATAATCATCTGTTGCGGAAAGCTGTATGGACATATTTGCGTGGATGTACTCCAAGAAGGAAGAGAAGTGAATTTGATTTTCTGCTTTAGCTCTTGCTATAACTTTACATTTTGGCTTGTTAAATACTCACAACCAAGTTTTTTTTTTT